AGTGAGCGAACCGGCCATCCCTATATAGGATCCGAACCCGCGGCCTTGGTGTTATCAGCACCGCACTCTCCCGAGTGAGCCACGGGCCGGCCTATGTTGTGTGTTTTTTACCACTATTTACAAAGAGTGGAATAAGAGACATATGTGAGAACCACAGGCATTTTAGAAGCTGTAGAAAGAACCCTCACTGCTCCCTGCCCGTGGAGTGGGGACGCCATGACGTCGGTGCAAGCCTTGCTATAAACTCAACGTGGTTCTCTCTAACGCTCTGATGCCTTCCTAGTGAGGCCTCCCTGGCACATGCTCGTGCTCACCTCTCTGTGACAGTGTGGTGTGGACGCTCTGCCATGCCCTGGGACCTGCAGTCAGGACTCTGGCCTGTCCTTCAGCGACAAGGCCAGAGCGAGGCATGGGGTGGGGCGGGTCCCAAGCAAGAGGAGAGGGTGCGAGGGACGCTTCTGGGCATGTTCCCGAGACCCTCCAACCTGAAACAGCGCTCTTCACCACTCATTTCCCACTGTCACTTGCACGTGAGGAGGCAGGGCGGCCCCCGCCCACTTTGCGAGGAGGAAGAGTGAGGGTGGGAAATGAACTGGTTCCCACCACGTGCGGCTGTCAGCGGCAGAGGGGAAGGTCCCCGCGAGCACCATGCATACCAGATACTGTCCTTATCCGCCACGGCTATACACGGTGTGAAGGGATGAAATTTGACCACGGAGGGCACGCCAGGGTTCCTGTTCAGAAATATCTGGTCATCCAGTCTCGTAATGCCTGCCAGAGAAACACACAAGAATGGATCCAGCAGCCAGTCTTAATTTGCAATAAATATCGACAGTCTATTTTACCAAGGCCAACACTGATGCCTAGTGTTTGGGGGCTTGGAGAGGCACAAAGGAAACAGAAGGATTACAGGGACCACAGAGAGGGGCGGAAAATATACACTGAGCAGTGAGGCACTTCTGGGCTCTCAGTGTGACATTGGCCCAGCACGCCCTCAGGGGGAGGGCTGGGCCCAGGCCAATAGGGTCCAGGCCTTTGCTCAGACCCCCCATAGCTCCTGGCACTAAGCTGGACACGCGGCAAGTTTTCAATCAATGCTTGTCAACTCATACATCAGCAATGTTCAGATTCCTGCAAATTGATCTGGGTGAGACGACACGGAGAAGGTGCTAACAGTTTCAGAGCAATGCTCAGTAGGGCTCTGACTGTAATACAGACTCAGGGTTGAATCTGGGGTACAGCCATCACTACCCACAGTCCAGCCACAGTCCTGGGGTCCTCCGGCTAGAAAGATGGTTGCTATGAAATTATACGACTGAAGGATCACAAATTTAACAGAAAAGGGGAATGTGGCCTCCAAATACTAACACTAGGAATAAATTCCCCAAGGCTCTGTAAGACTTTGTTATAGAGCTAACCATAAAAAGAGGCTAAAAATGCAGAGTCAAGATGGGTTTAGACACATTTTTGGCAACTAATACGCAGTTTCTTCAGAGCGGCTGGGGGCCAATGGGCACATGCACAGTCTTCTGCTGCGGTGTGGGGGCGGGAGGATTAGCAGCCTCCCCAGCTTGGGCCTTGGACACATGCATGGCCTGTGGGTAACCCCTGTAGGGTGCTGAGGAGACTCACACACTCCTTCTGGGCCTGGGCTTCTGGACTGGCCCAAGGAACTGTGTCTTCGGGGGTGGGGTGGGCTGGGAGTCTGGCAGGAAGCCACCCTGCTCTTGGGATGCAAGCAAACATAAGCAATGTGGGCACTTTGCTATAGGTGACCCTGAACTGGGCTTGGCCCCAACAGGACCACAGGCTCGATGCGAGCAGCCTGCGCACCCTTCTGCCTGTGCCATGTGCATTCAGGTGGTGCCAGGACCGCAGCATCTGAGGCCAAAACCCTCAGGACGTTCCATCATGCACTGGCTGCTCAGTCAGGGGCTGTGCTGTCACCAACATCTTCTGTCCACCAGCTCCTTTCTTTCTTGAAACAGCAACACCAAAAACCACTGGGAAGGAGTAAAGCCACTTTATGATGAGGAGGATCACACAACCGAGGCAGTGGGCCCGAAGGTGTGGTGTGGTGGCAGCACTGTGTGACCTCACAGCTCTGGCACCATAAGTTACGGGGTTTTTCTTTTGAGAGAGCCAAATTATTATTATTATTATTATTTTTTTGTCTTTTTTCGTGACCGGCAATGGATCGCAACCCTCAGTGTCGCGCCCGTACCGGACCGGGACCGGCAACGGGATCGCAACCCTCGGTGCTGCGCCCACACCCCGCTCAGCCAGTGAGTGGCCGGTCTGTATGCAGGATCCGAACCCTCGGCGGGAGCGCCACCGCACTTCCCAAGCAGCACACTGTAGCAGTGC